AACCCTGGCCACAGGCTACCTCCTTGGGGACAGTGTTGTGTCTTTCACCTCTTGCTTGTCAGTAGAATGGTACCAGTAATTCCTTAAGTGCCAGAAGGGGCATGGGACCCTGCAGACCATCTCTGCTGCTGGGAAAGAGGTGACAAGCTCTCCCTGACCCCATGACACCCAGCCATAGTGGCAGATCTACTGGGGAGCAGCACTGTCCTAGGGGAGAGTCATCTTTGTATCCTTGGCTTATGAAAAATTTCTTCCTTTCCCTTCCTCAGCTCCACAAGCAGGAAGGTGTGGGAAGACAGTTTATGTCTTTGTTGCCCTTGAGTTTGGATTTCAAGCAAGCTGACCACAAGTTCGTCCTTCTGTAGGGACTTAATTAACCCACTGGTTTGTCATTTCAATTATAGTTGCCCAGTTTAACCTGACCGCCCCGCCACCCCCTTAGCACTTTGAAATTACTCTCCTCTAAAGTTGTGTAGTCTTGCCTTCTGCCCTGGTGGGCAGAGCTGGCACTGCTTCTGAGCCAGCCGTCCTCACTCTGCAGGGAGGCCAGGATGGCAGCGAGGCCTGGTCTCCTTTGAAGGCAGTAGCCCCTGCAGTCCTTGCCCCCCGAAATCACTTTAAACTCGGCCCACTCCCCCGCTGCTGGGAGGGCCTCTGTGGAGAGGGACTGAGTGTTGTTAGCTGGGTTTTGATTTCAGTACTGTAGTTGATAAAATGAGATAAACCCCAGGCTCACTAGGGTTGTGGAAATTAAACAGAGATGAAATCAAAGTTCCCCTGAGTTTTCAGCTATGACACAGTAGCTCAGCTTTCTCCCAGGCTAGGGCAGGGAGGCAGCCTTTGATTCTGAAACAATGCTCAGCATCAGTTAAGCCCAGCACTGCAGACTTTTAGGGATTAAGTTTAGGGTTGTGGTAATTCTTTGATCAGCTACAAGGAAGCAGTATGATGTCTGTGTGAAGGGGCTTCATAGTTAAAGTTCACATCTCTGTGAACCTGGGATGACTGTGGGTGAGGTGCTGGGCTGTGGGGAACTTAGCCTCCTCCTAGTCCTGTCTGCAGACTGAGTGCCTCAAGAATGGCATGGGGTGGGTTCCTCCACACCATCTTGCCCAGTGTGTGTACACACACACACAACTTGTCTTGAGGAAGCATCTCTCAGAGCTGACACAGAACCACCTTCCTGGAGCAAGGCTTTGTAGCCTCCAGCCTGGGACAGATCTAGCAGAGGCTATGTGCCCACTCAGGAGAAGTGGGATGGGGACTGACACCAGATGGCCTGCAAGGCTAAATTAGGACAGCTCAAGGTCAGCTGGCCATGAGCAGATGTGATTCTCAGGTGTCCAATGCCTTCTTCCTGGCCTGTGGTAGAAGCCCGGGGTTTCAGACTGGCTCAGCATCAGCCGTCCACACACAGAGCCCACTCTTGCTTTCCCTATGGAGAGCCTTCTGGCGCATCTGGATGGCTCAGGCTCCCCAGTTGGCTCCCCTCCTTCGAGTTGGCCCTGTGACTTGCATTTGGTAATGGAGCCCCTGTGTGCCGTGGATCCTGCACACAGCAGGCTGTAGATCAACCCATTCCCTCCTGTGCGGAGCTCGGATCTCCCTCATTAGGCCTGAATTTACCTCCATCCTACACAAACATGGCCTTAGCTCATTTTTATTGTTGTAAATTATTTATGAGGGGAATGTTGAATCTCGAAACTGAGGTGTGAGGAAAATTAATCCCATGTTACTTTTATCTTTCTGTATTTTCTCTCTTTGCTTGACTTATTGAGCTATGGCCAGAGAAAGAGGAGCTTTGGCATTTTAAAATATAATTAGTGTTGAAACTGCTTTCCCATTTGGGCCGGATGTGGGTCTCTGTGTAGAGGATTAACAGAACACAGGCTAGACTGAGGAGGATGCCTCTGCCTGCTGCCAGCCCCAGGGTATCTGAGAACAGGGGTCTCGGCTTCCTCTTCTGGAAAATAAGGGCTAGTCTGCTCCCAGCTCTGAGGTGAGCATCATCTCACAAGGAGCTTGAGAAAACCCTCTGAAGTTTGCAGAGTGCTGTAGAAACCCCACAGAAGGTGTGTTCACCCAGGATGCAGAGCTGCTGAGGTGAAACCAGGGGCTGCTGCAGATAGGCCCTTGGTGTTTTACCCAGTGTCACCTCCTGCCAAGCAGGTTAATGCTGGTCTTAAACATGGGCCCTCTGTTAGGCTCACATCCAAGGCCCTTCTTCCCTGGCAGAGGCCTGGCCTGCGACCCTAGAAGACAGCGCTCTCTGTTCAGCTCTCATTCCTTCCCTTCTGGCTGGAGGCTCCAAGCAGCCCAGGAAACACGGAGTGCTTGTTAATAAATGGCCTTTTGTTAGGAAGGTCAATTGAAGTGACGGTAGAGACGCTGTTAAAAGTAATTTGCAGTCAGAAAATATGTAATGCAGGGCAAGCTGCTTTGAGCGATGGCCTCTGCCATGGATATCTTGGGTGTTTCTCATTAAGAGCCTGGTTGGCCGGTAGCGGGCCTGCTCCACCACCAAGTGGGCCACAGCCCGCTGGAGCAGCCATTTGTCTCTGTTGCACAAAGGCTGCCTTGATCCCCAGAGCCCGGGAACCCGGGCAACCGGGGATCGGGAGAGAGGCGGAGGCGAGCCTGGCGATGGCAGTGCTGTGCGGCCCAGGCCTGCAGTAGGTTGGTTCCCCAGCTCTGAGCCCCAGCTCTTTGTCAGCATCAGCTGCGCAGGCAGCCATCTTGGAGGCTGCTGCTGGGTGCCTCCCCGGGTGCATTCTGGGAGTAGCATCTTTGCCTTGCAAGCTCCCTCATCCTTCTACAGATGATAGCAGGTGTCAGAGCCAGAGAGCCCTTGTCATCAGTGCCTCGTGGAGCACACTGCCATCCCAGAACATGACTCTCCCAGCAAGTGAGATGTTCCACATGTGGGCTTACCTTCCCCCTCTTTCTTTCTGATAGTAAAGGCAATACTCTTAAAAAAAATTTTTTTTTTGCTTCACATGTTCTTTATTAAATTCACAGCATGATATTTAACACTGGCAGGATTCGTACATTCTGCTAATGAGTTGTTAATTGCCCAGCATTCTTGGTAGCCGACAGCAGGTACCAATATTTTGCAAACTGCAGCAATGTTATTTTCTGTTCTTCGTAATGCAGGATTTTTCAAGGACAGAGACATTGGTTTAGTGCTTTGCTTTGGGTTGGGCAGGTGAAAACGTTTAACCCTAAATCTATTTGGGGACACACATGTGGAGTCACTCAATAAATATTTACTTAATGCCTACTGGGTGCAGGAGGCGCTAGGCCCTGTGCTGTATGAAGATAAACCAGCCTGGAAAATGAACATTGAAAATAGGAGATGGCAGGGGGATGCAGCATGGTCTCTACCTCCTGCCCTGGCCAGTTGGAGGTTTATTTTCAGTAGATGCAAACAGAATATAACTTGGTGCCTCTTGTCAGAAACACAGGCTGAGAGGGCCGTGATGCCAGGCATTGCTTAGTCTTGACCAGGGACTTGGCTCCACTGCGCTGCCAAGTCTGTTTCCGGAGCTCTTTGTGGGTTCTGCTGACTACACGCTGACTTTCCTGCAGCATTTTGATTGTTCCTGTGAAGCTGGTTACAGTCACTTTGGCCCCTGGCTTTTCTGAATCTCGGCTGGGGAGCAACAACATTGCCTCCCACTTGCCTCAGGGGGCAGGGTGTTTGGTTTGCTTTTGAAGCAGTAACCAGTCTTGAGAGCTCTGGCAGCCAGTGGAGTTTAATTGCTGCAGAAGGAGATGGGATTTAACGTGTTCTTTCCCATTGCTTTCTGGTTAAGTACCTTGTATAAGGTGTTGCTGTTTTTATTTGCTTTCTGGTGCACAGTCCCTGGAGCCGCCAGGCCTGGTGCTCTCCCTACTGCCTTGGCCGCTGCCTCTGGTCCTGTGCTACTGTCGGGAGCAGTGGAGTAATTCCATGTCCCCTTCCTTTCACACAAATGACTAGTAAGAATTAGGATCACTGTTAGTGCTTAGCTTTGAGTGACACATGTCCAGAGTTGGGAGTGTGACAAAGGGATCAGCCAGTCCTCTAATGCATGGTGCCTTTTGTTTCTGGCCAGTTACACTGAATCCATGTGCTCCAAGCCTATCCACCTGCCTTTTACTGAGTACCTACCCTGTGCCAGGGATGTCTCCAGGCTCTTCCTTTCTATCCCTTAGTTCTCCCCTCAACTCCAAATCTCATTTTAGAGTTGAGAAAGTTGAGGCTTCATGAGGTTGAATTTCTTGTTCAATCACCAGCTGAGAAGTACGGTGTCTGAATTCAAGCACCATTCCTGTGCCACACCCCAGTGCCTTCCCTGTCTTTGCAGAGCTCTTGTGCATTTGCAGAGCTCTCTGCTTACTGAAAGCCCAGCCGAGGCTATGTGGAAGCCTAACCACTCACTAAGGGAGAGAAACAGAAGCTGCCGCTAGACTCAGCCAGGTCTGACTCATCCAGAGGAGCTGCTGGTGCCTGCTCAGACATCAGGCAGATGGACACAGAGTTAGGAATTATGTGGGACTGGTGATGTAGCTCAGTAGAGTGTTTGCCTAACCTGCATGAATTCCTTGGTTCCATCCCCAGAACTGCATAAAACTGGATGGACACACTTGTAATCTAAGCACTTGGGAAGGGAAGTAGAGGCAGGAAGATCAGGAGTTCAAGCCCAGCCTCAGCTACATAGTGAATTTGAGGCCAGCCTGGAACAGCCCTACATGATATCCTGCCCCCCCACCCCATATGTGCTTTTCGGTTTGAGTTGAAATTACCTCCTGAGAGCAGGTGCAAGCCCTCAGCTTTCCAAGCTAACTACTTGAGCGGGGCCAGTGCCGAGTGACTTCTTGATCCGAGTTCAGGGTGAGGCCAGGTGAGGATGTGGAGCTCAGCTCAGGAGCTGCCCCCAGGTTCTCCATCTGTCTGAGACCTTGTGTACACATTATACACCGAGTTTGAATTTTCTGCTTTTCCTTTTCTGAACCAGGACCAAGCCACCATGCCTGAAGTCAGAGACCTTTCGGAAGCCTTGCCAGAGACGTCGATGGACCCCATCACAGGAGTCGGGGTAGTGGCCTCCCGGAACCGAGCCCCAACTGGCTACGATGTAGTAAGTCCAGATACTAGCTTGCCTATTGTGCTCAGTGTCAGAGACCCTCAGACCCTATGTGTAAGATGTGCTTCCTCCCTTTAAGAACTCAGAATGACCAGAGGAGGAACGCCATCACCAATAGGGCACAGAGTATCCTGATTTGGGTGTCAGAGGACCTGAGTCTGGTGGGGTTGGGAAAATGGGTGTGGCTTCCTGGCTCTGACCATAACTGGCTTTTGACTTCTGTGATGGCCAGTTCTCACCTTGTGTGAAATTGAAGTTAGATCCACTGATTTCCAAGATCACCTCTAGTTTTTATGTTTCATGAAAAGGATGCAAGGAAGTCTCTGGTAGTTTCCTGTCTTATCCCAGGTATGTGAGTGTTTTGAGTGTTTTCCTACATTTGTAAAGCTTTTCACAGTTATAAAGGTTTCCCATCTGTGAGCTCATTTAACTTTTACGTTTTCCTGGAGAGCTGTGTGCCGGTTAGGAGAACTCAAACTCAGAGGAGCGAAGTGACAGGGTCCCAGGACTCCGACACATGACCAAGCAGGACAAACCCCCTTCCCAAGTTCTAAGCAGAGAACGCTTTGCTTTTCAGTAGACATCTCTGCTGTTCTATGAATCAGGACTGGTTATTTTGTTGTTCCCATAGGAAAATTCCAAATTAGGGGGATAGGACATGCAGAGTGACATTTGGGGGGGTTAAATGGTGAGCATCATCATCGTGCGTTTTGAGATTCTAAGATGATCTTATTTTTCTCCCCTGTGTTGTTTATGACAATGTTTGATTCTGGTTCATTGAAAATGTACTATAAGAACAAGGCTGCAGGTTTCATTAGCCAGCACTGTGTGAGCCATGTGTGGGCAGGGCTGCTCAGCATCAGCATCGCTGACATCTGGGCCAGGAATCAGATCATTCTTTGTTGTGGGGCTGTCCTGCGCATCACAGGCTGTGTGTGCAGCATCACTGACTTCTATTCAGTCAGTGCCTGAGCAGCTGCCCTGTCTCCCCAGGTGTTTCCAGATAGTCCCAGGGTGAAATGTAGGTGGGGCAAAATCAGCACCCATTGAGCACCAGTCAATCTGCACCAGTCAATCTGCACTGGGTCCTCACTGCAGAAAGAGGAGCCCATTAGAAAAAAAAAAAAAAAGCAGGGGCAAGGCTGGAGAGAGATGGCTCAGCTGTTTGGGCCCCAGCAACCACATGGTGACTAACAGCCATCCACAACTCCAGTTCCAGGGGATCTGACACCCTCTTCTGGCCTGAGGGGGCATTGCATGACAGGGTGCACTTACATAATGTCGGCATACACCTAAAATAAGCCATTTAAAACCCCATCTCTTTCCTAATAGTTTTACAGTGAGAAGAGGAGGGAATCTTTCTTGATAAAGATTTGAGTCTGATCTGCTTGTCTTCAAAGCCCAGTTGGAATGCCTTAAGTTTCCATAAAATAGAATCATTAGGTATGGCTTTGTGCCATAAAGCTCTTGGGGGAAGCTAATAAAAATGCTCCTTATTTGAGAAACCAAAGTGTCTTTTGATGAATTGGGTCAGAGGCAGCATGTCATGAATCAGGCAGAGCCGGGAGCTTCTGTTGGTGGGTGAGTGGACGGCCCAGGTCTCTCCAGGCAGGGCTGGGCACTCCCATCTGTGGGTGGACAGTTCAGGTCCCTCCTGGAGGGCTCACACGGGGCTCAAGCCCTGGGTCCCGGTCTCTCATCTTCCTGTCATTCTGTGTCTATCACTATCTCTAGCATTCTGTCTGCACCTCCAGGGTCATCTGGACTGCTTGGCTAGTGGATGGCAGATGGCCTTTGACAGTTTGGCTTTCTGAAAGTCTCTGGAAGGCTGACAGGGGCACAATCTATCCCTATCATTTTCCCTGAACATCTAGCCCAGGGCAGAAGAGTGCAGTGTCAAATGAGTGAAATTAATAAGCACATTTCACAATCATGCTGCACCATGTGTTTTAGTGGAAGGTGAGCAGGGCAAGAGGCTCGAGCTAGTTCGCCTGTAATTACCCAGGCTGCACACAGCCCGGGCTCCTCTAAGAGCCCTTTCTGGGAGAGGGGCGGTAGACCTCTCTTTGTTCTGGCTGCTAGACTCTTCTCAGATAAACATCTCATTCCCCAGAGCTCTGGCCCTGAGTTCAAGGGGAAAGACGGGGAGGGCAGGGTGAGAAGGAGCACTTCCCTGTTCTTTTCATCTGGAATTCCATATTAAGTCAACATCCGAATCAAAGTACAGGGAATTTTGGGGGTGGCCAGGCCACTGGAATGCTCAGGCATAAGTCCAGAGGATGAGGAAGCCCTGTAGCTGCTGGAGGCGAGACCACTCTGAGTGCGGACTCTGCCCTAAGATTAACCCCACTGTGCAAAGCACCAAGGACTGTGACCCACCTCCTGCTATCAGGCATCAGACACGCTGCTGGCTTTGAGCTGCACAGCAGCTTTAGAAGGGTGCTAGGCACTGCGACTGCTTGAATCTAAAGATGCTGAAAGTTCATTTATAAAAATGTAATATAATGACTTCCCTTCTCTCCGGGTCAGAGGGGCTGGGGATTATCTGCTAAACTTCTCAATTTATTCTCCCTAGTTCTGCAGTCTCCCTTGAAACAGCCTCCCACTTCTGTCCTGCAGCCACATGATGAGATTGTGGAGGGACGGGCTGATAGTCCCTGCTCTCAGAGGTTGGGGTGGGTCCCATGGTCCCTGTGACCCTGCAGTACTTGGCAGAATGACTGTTGTAGATGCCTGACATTTGATAGAGCTTATGCCTCCATAGACGGATGGTCAGTTCGGGAAGAATGTAATGCTACCAGAAGCACCTGTTGCTGTAGTCCCCTGTGAAAAGTCCAGTGCTGTAGTCTTAGAGCATCAAGCTGGCCTCCCTTTGTACCACTGTGGGTGCATTTCTGTGTGTTTCCACTGACATACCTCCTACCTGCTGCATATCTCCACTTGCTTATCCAAATGGGTGTTTACAGCTCAGAGCTGGATACTGTCCATGTGAAGTACAGTCACACCTGTGAACCCACTTGCCCGTATTTCTGAGATGCCCCCTCTCTCCCTCATGTTTTTGGTAAGAAATGTACTTACCCTTTTCAAGTGCTCCCTTATTAAAATTTTTCCTGGCAGAGCTTGCTCCTCCCTCTCTCCCTCCCACCCTCCCACTTTCTCTCCC